CCAGGGGGGCTCCTCCTCCTCCTCCTCCTCCTCCTCCTCGGCCTCCTCGGGCCGGGGGGGCCGGGCCGGCGCCGGGGGGGGGGTCAGGGCGGCGCCGGCGCTGCAACTGTCGGCCTTGGACTTCTTCAGGGCGCCCTTGGGGGCCCCCCCGGCGCCCCCCGCGCCCCCCTTGGCCTTCCTCTTCTTGCGCCCCTCGCCCTTGGCGGCCTTGGCGCCCTTCGCCTTCTTGGCGCTGCCGCCCTTGCCCTTGGCGGGCTTGGCCTTGCGGGGGGGTTTGGCGGCGACGGCGGCGTCTCCGTCGGGTTTGGGGGCCCCCACCCCGGCTTTGAGGAGCCCCCCGGCCTTGAGGAGCCCCCCGGCCTTGAGGAGCCCCCCGGATTTGAGGAAGGGTGCCCGGCTCTCGGCGTCGCGGGCGAACTTGACGCCGATTCCGGTGCCGGTGCCCGGCTCCTTCCCCGGGGCGGTGGTGGAGCTGACGCCCTCCCGGATGAGCACGGACACCTTGGACTGCAGCTTCACCTTCCTGCTCGTGGCCGTGGCCGCTTTAGGCGCTCCCGGCGTCGCCGGTGCCGCCGCCGGCGTCGCCTCCTTGGCTTTGGCCTTGCGGGCGCCGCCCTTTTCCCGCGGCTTCTCCTTGGCCTTCCCTCCCTCCGGCGGCGCCGGCGGCTCCTCCTTGAACTTCTTCTTGTGCTTGTCCCTGGTGGCCGACGCCGCCCGCTCGTCGGGGCGGCCCCTCTTGCGCTCCTTGTCCCCCCTCTTGTCCCCTCCCCGGCGCGGCGGCGCCGGCGGCGCCGGGGGGAGCTCGGCGGGCTCGCGGTCGGAGAAGCCCTCGAAGCTGAGCCCCTCGGAGTCGTAGAGCACCTCCCGCTTGGGCTCGGGGCTGCCGGCGGCGCGCCGGCTCACCGTGATGGTCCTCTTGATGGCAAACAGGGCCGAGTCGCTGAGCTCCTGCACCGACGGCGGCACCACGGCCCGCGGCTCCCGCCGGTGGCTTCCTCCTCCTCCTCCTCCTCCTCTTGTGACCGAGGACACCCCGTCCTTCTCGCCCTTGGCCTCGGCGTCGCGGCGCGAGGCCCGGCGCTCCCGGGAGCGCGAGCGGTGCCGCCGCTGCCGCTGCTGCTGCTGCTGCTTCTTCTTCTTCTTGTCGCCCCGGCGCTTGTCCTTGTCCTTGCGGCCGCCCCGCGAGCGGCCCCCGGAGCTGCCCGAGCGCCGCCGCCGCCGCCGCTTCTCCCCCCCGCCCCGCGAGCGCGAGCGCCGCGACGACCACGAGCGCCGGCGGGAGCGGGAGCGGGAGCCGCGGCGGCGCCGGTGCCGCTCCTTCGACTTCGAGGAGGAGGAGGCGGCGGCGGAGGAAGGCTCGGGGTCGCCCCGGGGGGGTTTTTTGGCCGCCCCCCACGACGGGGAGGAGCCGCCGGAGCCGCGCTCGCGGGAGCGCTTGGATTTCTTGCGGGAGGCGGCCGAGGGCGAGCGCGGCGGCGGCGGCGGCGGCGACGGCGGCGCCCGGAGCCGGCGCTGGCTCAGGATCTTGCGCCGCAGGTCGGAGCCGGAGCCGGAGCCGCCGCCGGAGCCGCCGCCGGGGCCGCCCTTCCAGCGCGGGTCGGGTTGGGCCTCGGCGCCGAAATCGGCCTCCTCGTCGGAGTCGGCGTGCAGGGACAGGAAGTCGTCGCCGCCCTCGGGCAGCCGGGGCGGCCGCGACGGCTCCGGGGGTCTCCCCGGGCGGGCGTTGCTGCCGGAGCCGCCGGTGGCCCCGGCGGCGTTGGCCGAGGCCCGGAAGAGGCGCAGGGGGCTGAAGGGCCGCTCCTCCTCGGCCGGCACGATCTCGCCCTCCTCCACCTCCGAGTCGCCCGGCGCGGCCCAGTCGCGGCGCCCGCGGTGCCGCCCCGGCGCTTTGGGGGCCGTCCCGGCGCCGCCGCCGCGGGGTTGGGGGGCCGAGGGCACCCCCTGGCCCGGGGGGGCTTTGGGGTTGCCGGGGGTCACCACCTCCAGCGACAGCTTGCCCTCGAACTTGGCGCGGGCCTCGCTCTCGGCGGGCCCCAGGCCCACCACGAAGACGCGGCGCCGCGGCTCCGGGGCGGCCGCCGGGCCTTCCTCCCGCTCCTCCTCCTCCTCCTCCTCGTCATCCTCCTCCTCCTCGTCGTCCTCGTCGTCCTCCTCGTCCTCCTCGTCCTCGGGGAGGGTGGAGTCGGCGCCGGGCGGGTTGGGGGGCGTCTTGGGGGGCTCGGGGTCCCTCTCGCAGTCCTGGCTCAGCGAGTTGTCGTCGTAGATGCCGGCCAAGGTCTCCGAGATGCGGCTGATGCTCTGCGACACGTCCGGCAGCACCACCTCCTCCTCCTC